TATAAACTCAGAAGACCTAGTCAGTTTGCAGTCCCTTACACACACGTGGGCACACACCCCACCCATGCATGTTGCCCAGGGATTTGAATACTGCATTACCTGCAGCTTAGGTTAACCCACCTACACTTCAAGGAAACTCTGGAATTAAGAGCAATCTGTATGTCCCAAAGGCATAAGAAATTGTCAGTAAAGCTTGACATGGCCAGCAGAGGAAATAAATGGATTCCTTGGGAAATGAACAACAGTCAATATCACACTTAACGCACCTCATCTCTCAGACTATCAGTCAAAAAGGTTTCTATACCATATGGAATGGCACACTTTATACCAACTACTCGAAGTTCTTCACTTCCTGTTAGAAGAATTATTTAATTAGAATTGCACATATCTAAAGTGATATTTGAGCTGCAGTTTAGTCCTAGTAATTTGGACAAATGTCTCTTTGGCCAGAGACGCTTGGAAATTGCTACAGTAAGCCAACATCTGTGATCAGGAATTTGGAGCTATAATCCCCATTCTGGCTATGGCACCACTTACAAAACCATGCCCTGTAGCAGCAATGGAAAGTACTCCTTTGGTAATAATTAACATGGAAGTATCATCAATTCTACTCTGTACAACTGTGTTTTGGAGTCTCTCTCCAGGAGTTGCTAGGTTTGTGTGCTAGCCAAGTTGTGTTTCTTAGAGCACTGACTCTCAGCCAGGGTGCTGCAGCACTGCAGGATGCCATGAGATCCTTTTGAGGGTGCCACAGGGTGCCGTGCAATATTACAACTGTTACGTGTGCAAAAACAACACAAGATTCACAAAATCCAGAGATTTCAAATAGGAAACCAGTGTCAAAACCATTCTGACCTGTTGTGGTATTTTTGAGTTCTTTGCAACAGAAGAATTGCTTTATTATTTCTCCACAGTCAAGAAAACAAATGAAAGCTAAGAGATGGGATTTTCCAAGGGGTGCCTGGGTCTAAAACTCCACTGACGTGGAGTTTAGAAAGTCAGACCCTCCTTTTTTTTTCTTTAAACAGAAAGTTGTGGGGGGAGGGGGAGGAAATAATCATTCCCAAAACTCATTTAGATGGAAAGAGTCCTCTAAAATAACAAGAGTCAACATTACAGATAAATATTTATTTACCAGACACCAACAAAACTCTCTCAGACAGGCAAGTTCTCATTAATATTACCAAAGCTAACCTCTTTGCTCACTTTTCAGGCAGACTGTTTCTTTTAAATCAATCCTGAGAAGTACCGTCATATTGAGACTTCCCTTCATACTTGTTTAGTTTACAGATAAGGTTCATCTGTTGACAATTCCCACTTCTTTGGTGGAACTCCTGGTGTCACTCCCTTTTTCCTGGTTGTTGCTACTGTAGAGTCCGAGCTGGGAAGAAGGAGAGACTAGGCTTCAGGAATCATTAACTCTTTTAGATATTAGCTGTTTTGGAGGTGTTTTCACTGCAGAGTTAAGGCAGATCCCATCGTTGCCCTCCCATTCACACATATAACTCTCTCAGAGCTACTGGTAACGCAGAGGTTTTAAGGAATCCAGCTCCAGCCCTAATCATGCTGATTCTCAAGAGAAGATCCACAGAGGCATTTATTCAGCATCCTATTACTAGCGTCCGTGTGCTTCCTTATAGTACTCCACACTAATTTTCAACCTAATTTGACTCTGCTTAGCTAGCAAAGTCACAGCCAGATCTTGTATGGTCGTAGGCCATAGGATAAATAGGACCTACCTGCCAGCTTGAGCACCTGATACAAGGGTTTTCTGTGGTGACATAACAATAATTGGAGGATAGGTCTCTCTGCGTCCATCCCGGGTACAGTAGTAGTTATCTGCAAGTTTGTGACTGGGACCCAAGGGAAGTTGAGGTGGTGGCTGAGTTCTAAGAAGACAGTTTAAAAAAAAAAGCTTCAAAGCATACAAGATATTAAGCAAAAAAACCAAGATTCTTACTATTAATGCATCAGGTTATCACTCAGAACTAGAAACCTGACTTTAGAGCACCTTTTAATCAAACTAAATGCTCACAGAGCACAGCAGGATATTCTGGTCTTCTGCAAATGAAATACAAAAAGGGGCTCTCATGCTCCAAGGCCTACGGAGTGTGTTAAAGAGACTCAGTATTGCTCAGCTGCAAACTAGTAAAAAAAGGATATGTAGAGCAAACTTGTGGCCTGGCACTGGGCTACACTAACACATCCGCAGGAAGAACAAGGATGCTCTAACGAGACAGAGTTTTTGGTTGTAGCCATGTTGGTCTAAGGACATAGGCAGGCAAGGTTCTTTGGGTAGATGTGATACCTTGTATTAGACTGAGTAGTTGGGAAAAGTTCTTAGCAAGCTTTTGGGCCCAGTCACCCGTCTTCAGGCACAGGAAGTCTCTGCTGTTCTGAGACTCCAATGAGAGAAGATACAAGTGTGGCAGGATTGTCAGTGATAATGTAAATAGGTAGAAATTAGAAAGACAAAAGGTGAAGCAGGGGTGGGGAAGAGAACAGTGGGGAAAAAGGCTAAAGGGAGACATTACAGTGATAGAATACAAGGTAGAAAAGAGGCTAACCAGTTAAAAACAAAATAATTGGAGATCAGGAAAACAGGAATGAGAGAAGCTACAAGTGTGAGAGGATGTAGTGAAAATATAAATAGGGAAGAAGGAGAAACAAGGTAAAGTGTGGGGGGGGGGAAGAAGGCAGAGGAAAGAGAAGCCAAATGGAAACATTACAGTGGTATTAATACATGATGCATAGATTGTAAGGCTGGAAGGGACTTCAGAAGATCATTGGGTCTAGCCCCCTACACCAGGCAGGAAAAGTGACAGGTGGGGTCAGGTGACCCCAGCAAGGTGACTGTCCAGTCTCCTCTTGAAGACCTCCAGGGTAGGTGATTGCACTACCTCTAGAGGGAGCTTATTCCACAGTCTAGACACCCTGACTGTGAAGAAGTGTTTCCTAATCTTGAGCCTGAAATGGTCTTCTAGGAGTTTGTGGCCATTACTCCTGGTTCTCCCCAAGGGCGCCCTGAACAGTTGTTCACTGAGCCCCTGATGTAGCATTAAACTGCTACCAAGTCTCCTCTCAGCCTTCTCTTTTTCAGGCTGAAGAGTCCCAGGTCCCTCAGCCTTTTTGCGTTCGGCTTGCTATGCAAGCCTCTTATCATACAGGTGGCCCTTCTCTGGACTCTGTCAAGTTTTACCATGTCCTTGTTAAAATGTGGCACCCAGAACTGGACGCAGTGCTGCAGCTGCGGTCTCACCGGTGCTGAGTACAGCGCAAGAATCACCTCCTTGGTCTTGCTGGAGATTCATCAATCGATGCGTGCCAGAGTATTATTTGCCCTGCTGACAACAGAGTTGCACTGCCGGCTCATGTTCATACTGTGGTCAGTTATAACTCCCAGGCCTCTTTCACGTGGTGTTGGTCAGATTGGTGTTTCCAAGCCTGCAGGTGTGCAGGGGACTGTTCGTCCCCAGGTGGAGCACTTTATGTTTCTCAAGGTTGAACTTCATTTGGTTCTGACTCGCCTAACCTGCCAGCCTCTTTAGAGCCATCTGAATCTGTAGCCTATCTTCAAGCATGACTATGCTTCCCTATAGTTTCATAATTGGTAGGGTCAGAGCAGATGACCTAAGCAGATCATCAA